TAACATCTGTGCCAATCTTTCTCTATGATGTATGTGGATTGCCGCTAGAGCATGGCTGCCAACGCATGGTGTAGGTCCACACCCGGGAACCAAACCTGGGCTGCCAAAGCAGAGCGTGCCGAACTTAACCACTAGGCCACAGGGCTGGCCCCAATATATATATATATATATATATATATATATATATATATTTTATTGTATTCACATCAGGCTTTCCTACACCTGGATGGAGGACACGTCTTGCTCTGTGTGCATGGAAATGGGGGTGCGCAAGAGTAGGGATGGTGTCAGATCGGCCTGAAAAGCAATCTGCCTACCTACCTGTGTGAGTAACTTATGAGTCAGGCTCCTGGAAGGACTGTGGTGAGTATTACACATCCTGAAACCCAAAAAGGTAAACAAGGATCTCAAATTTCCTCTTAAGCTGAAGAACAGCTTCCCTCATCTTGACATTAAGAGCTGTTCAAAGAGTTTGCTCATTCCAGTGTGACCTACCTTCTAGCTAGGCAGACTGTCTATAAACCTAACAGCAGAAACCCGCTTAGTTTTATATGGGTGGTGAAGGGGATGAGCAGGTAAGAAAGAGGGCAGGTGGGAGAGAAAATTGATATAATCAGTGGTAGCATAAAAAGTTAACTTTCCCCCTTATTCACACAAAAAAATGGATACTTAATGCAAAATCTTTAGATAACACAAAAAGCACAAAGAAAAAAACCAAAAATAATGTTTTACCCCAGAGATAACTATCATTAACAATGGCTTATTCCAATCTAATCTTTTTCATGTGCTATGACTATGTGTATGTATTTAATCAGAATGACAGCATATATGCTCATTTATAACCTGCTCTTGAAGTTTGCATGATAGTGATCATTTTTCCATGTCAATGAATATTCTTATACCACATGACTTTTAATGGTTACCTAGAATTTCCTCAAACAGAAAATGCCTTAAATTTCTTAACCAGTGACCTATTGTTTACATTTAATAACCAGTGCTTCTTGCAGAGGCTATCTGCCAGGATAGAAAATATTATGGCTACGCCTCCACAACAAGCTATCATCATATATGGCTTTACCAGATCACTGCACATTATTGGAGGACATCTGAGGTCAAGAGCTGTTCCATTAATTGAAATAATTATCTCTTTTCTCTGTAGATTTCCTCAATTCCCCTCTTTGGCATTAGTCATAATAACTAATATTCATGTCATGTTTTAATGTAACCTCTGTCAGTTCTGGGAACAACATTTATTCAGCAATGAATTTTACCTAAAAGGCACAATGCTGACTGCAAAACATATCTATTACAATGTCACAGATGTGAGTCATTCATTTGGTAGGTACTTATTGAGGACCTAAAACAAACAGAGCAGTACCTTCTGGACGGGCAATATTCCATAAACATTGAGCTTCCACGATGTGTAAGGATACTAAGAAATATAAATTCTTTCAAAGGGTTTGCTTTCTATATAGAGGGAAAAGATATGGAACCAAGACTCATTACATAACAGTACAAAAGATGTCATAGGGCAGTATCCAATAATGGGTACAGGCAATAGGGGCTGGCATTTTTTTAAGACTGGTCCCTGAGGGTTGGAGCAGTCAGAAGAGGCTTCAATACTAAGTCTTGAAAGGACTGAGAAGGGAGAGCTTTCAACTGAGGCTAGGAGACAAGTACGTTTATCCTTGGGGGACAGAAAATGGAGCTCACCAGAAGTGCAGGAGTGGCAGTAAAGTCTCAAAGAAGGAGTGCTAGACAGGGGAGATCGTTGAATGCTGGGCCATCAGAGTCCCGGCTCCACCCTGAACATCATGGGAGGAGTTTTTTGAGCAGTGGAGTGATGTGGTGGCCTGAACACCTTGATGTGACAAAAGTCAGTTCTTAGTCTTAGATCCTCTGAAATCTCTTCGGTAAGACTTTGAATTTATGTTGGAAGTTAAAATTGTTTCTCCATCATCACCCTATTCCTGCTCTTTGATCAAGATCCACATGCAGAAACCGGCCCAACAGTAAAATAGTCCAGTTATAAATTCATATGTAGAATTTGCAAAATTAAGTTAAAAAGATCCAGTAACTGAACCAGAATTTTTTCCTTCAATGGCATGATTAAGACATTGTCTTAATTCAGTGAAATTTCTCTTACTTTTTGTCTCGATAAATTTTTGTATTATAAAACAAATGTAACATCATTGAAGACATTTTGAAACTAGAAACAAAACCCTGTAATCAAATTCTAAACATAACTATTTAAATTTTACGTCTTTCCAGTCTTGTCAAAATGCATGTTTATTTTTACCCAGTTGCAGTAACATTGTATAAGCATTGTAAGTACGTGAGGCTACCAGTTACTGAACTTAGAGTGTTTGCACAATTGAATTTTAATTACTTTTTTTTTTTATAATCTTATTTATTTATTTTTTCCCCCAAAGCCCAGTAGATAGTTGTATGTCATAGCTGCACATCCTTCTAGTTGCTGTATGTGGGACACAGCCTCAGCATGGCCGGAGAAGCAGTGCGTCGGTGGGCGCCCGGGATCCGAACCTGGGCCGCTAGCACCGGAGTGCACACACTTAACCTCTAAGCCACAGGGCCGGCCCTAATTTTAATTACTTTTTAAAGTAATACTTGCATATCATAAAACTGTAAATAGTACAGAAAGGTAAAGAGTGGTAGTAAGTGGTGGTAAGAGTAAGTAATCTCAGGGTTTGTGTTCCTCTCCACAGACCCTGAATGTCATTAGTTTCTTGTGTATTCTTTTGAAGATATTGTAAGGCCAAACACACATATATATACACAAATATATATATATATATATAATGTTGCCTCTTGATATATACAAATAAAATATTTACCATAGGTGCAATCGACTGGAAGGAAAGTCTGTGGTATGCAGGATGTGCCAGAGTGCCTATTGCGTATCATTCACCTTGCATGTATGCCTTGCTTTTGCACACTGATTTGCACTTCACTTCTTTCATCTAGTGGTATGATTTGGAGATTGTTTCACATCAGCACATACGGAGCGCTTCATTCTTTTCAATGGTACTATGTTTTAACCACTTCCTACAGATGGATCTTGAGGCTGTTCTCAGTCTTTTGTTACTATAAACAATGCTGCAACAAATATCCTTACACAGTGTGAATTCATCTGTAGCATAAATGTCTAGATGAGCAATTGCTGGGGAAAACAGTATATGCATATAAAATTATGGTCAGTATTGTTAAATTTCCTCCCAAAGAGGTTTACTGCTTTTATTCCCACTAACAATGTATATGAGCCTATTTCCCAAACCCATTGATTAAAATTAATATCTTACTCAATCCGAAGGATGAAAAATGGTGTTTCGCTTTAATTTGCATTTAATCTAAAAATATTTTAATTTGTAAGTTTTGAATGCTTTTGAATTAACTTTTTCTCTGTAATTGGACAAGCAAACTTCACCTATGAACCTGAAATAGGCACAGATACTACTAGAGGGTGACAAGCTGGTGAGAATAAACAAAAAGCAAAAACTCCTTGAGAATATCTGCCCAATGATGGGGATGGCAATAGTGTTCAACGCTTTGCTTTGCGCCTCCTCTCCTCCATTTCCATCAGGTAGCATTAGGAAGTTGTGAATTACAGGAATGTGTAGTGTGCATGAGCCTTGCTTGAGGGTATGGAAATTTAGAAGAGACGACCAAGAAGGCTCCTCTGTCTACTTCACATCGAATTTCAGGTATTCCCCTTTCTCCCTAGCACACCTCCACAGCTGCAGAATCAGGGACAGTAACATAGACATAATGGAAGTAAAATAAGAATTTAAGGACTATTTGATTTGGGAAAGGCTTACAGAAATCAGCATTTTGATTCACTATTCTGCGTTGAAACTATTTCTGCGTTTCATTAACTGGCAGGGAACACTGGGTACCTTGCCCCTTATGATGGATGTAGTTAGGGAACCTCAATGGAATTGAATCCGTGTTTTAAGAGTTTTTTTGGAGAAAACAGAGAGTATTATGCTGTGAGGCATGCTCTGTTCGCAAATTATTCACCCCCCAACTCAACCCCATTCATTATTTATTTTGAGGAACTGGACGTGCAAGACAGATCTTATGCCTGCACATAAAATCCCAAATCAGGCTCTTGAATGTTCGACAGGGAGACTTCGAATTTCGCAGAAGACGTTCCAAAGATTGAGTAATTTATAAAGCCTTCCCTTGCCCGGAAAAATATCTTGACACCCCCCCCTCCAAACGTAAGAAAAATCTGTATTATTGCAAAAATATACGTCTATCCTCACTGGATCTTATTCTATTCTATTTTAATGAGATTTAAATGTTAAAAAAAAAGTGAGGAACAAGGCTTAGTGAGGTTAACACCGAAGTGCAAAGCGCAAATTGAGATTTGGGCCCGGCGTTAGTTTCCAGACCAGCACATCAAGTCCCACCCTTACCCAATCAGGGGAAGTCCCCGCTCTTACCTTCAGTTTTTTTTTTTAAAAGCAAGCGGTTTTTAAAACCCCAAATCCTGTTCTTTGTGTTGGCTGCCTCGGAGTTGACCCTTCGCAACCTAAAGATTGAGGCTAGAAAACACCGTGGTGGTGCCCTACCGCAGCCCGCCGGCGTGGGCGAGGAGCGCCGCCCGCCCGCCGGCTCCCGGCACCGGGCACCCGAGCCGCCCC